TGAGTGGACGTTATCACGGTTGGCCCATGGATGCGCTGTGCTCGGATGGGGTTTGAGTGGAGGTTATGATGGTTGGCCCATGGATGCTCTGCGTGCTCGGATGGGGTTTGAGTGGACGTTGTGATGGTTGGCCCATGGATACGCTGTGTGAACGGATGGGGTTTGAGTGGACGTTATCATGGTTCGTCCATGGATGCTCTGCGAAACGAGGAAAGTCAGCGAAAGGACAGAGACAGCAAAAAAAAACGGCGAATAACCCGTCAATCTGCAGTCGAAACGGCCCTTCCAGCGTAAAACGCGTAAGAAAAAGCAGAAACCCCGAGTTTCGGTTCCGAAAAGAACAAAATCGCAACGCAAGCAAAATCAACGCAACAGCGAGAACGAACAAACACAACAGAGAAGAAATCCTCAACAAAAATCGAGGAAAACGCACGTTGTAGACCAATTTTCGAAACAGCAACAACGGAAACTGACCCAAAACAGGCGTCCGGGCGGCAGGTCAGCCGGTTGGCAAAAAACAACAGACCAAGAGGGAGGAACGAATGCCCTGGAAGCCGTATACCTCCTCCCTACAAACACCTAGGACCTGGAGTAGGCCCTTATTCCCTTTTTTAGGGTTCAGGTCCCTTATATAAGCCCCTTTAAACCAAAAAGGGCACCCTTTTTATTCCTAGGTTACTCTTGGGTTCAGACAAACACTAAACCTTGCCAGCAAAACGAAGACCATGACATCCTTAACTCTTAACCCCTGCGAGGCGCAACCCAACAATCGCCGAAGCATAGAAGCCTCACCAACCCGCTAGCGCTCCTGATAACCATAGCTATGGCACATAGTCTACTCCGAAAGCCTATTCATAAAGGCCTCTGGAGGAAGCAGATTCAATGCTGTCACCTCTGCTCGTCTCACCTCGGCTCTTTGGTGTCTTCGGGGCTGTCTAGCTACCCTTTATATAAGTTTAACTTTTTTGATGAAATTAATTAAGAGTACAGGTTTTTTTGGGGGCCAGGGTACCCAGCCCCTGAACCCCTAAACCTGTAAACCCCTAAACTCTAAACTCAGCCCCTGAATCCACAACCCTAAAACGCCTCGTTTCAGCTGCAAAGTCGGCATTTCTTGGGACCTCAGAGACTCCCCCAAGAAGCGCTTTGGGGTTTCCTTGGCGCTCAGGGCTTCTTGAGTATTATAGTGTTTATATAGGCTTTAGAGTTTGGGTTTAGGGTTTAGGGTTGGGGATACTTTGGGGTTTTGGGGTCTGTGTAGGGCGTCTTTGGGCTTTAGACTTTCTTCAGGGGTTTAGGACTTCTCTTTTTGGGAGCCGTAAGGCTTCTACAAGAGCTCCATAAGGATTCTTGAAAAGGGTTTGGGGTTTTTAGGGTTGCTTCAACGGGCTCTATGGCGGCTATATGAGGGTTCCTACAAGGGGGTTCGGGGATTTTGGAGTCCATAAGGTTTAAGGGCTTTTAAAGTTTTTCTGTCTACGGCAAACTCTTCAGAGTTTTGTTTGGGCTTTGCTTGCTGAGGTGACATTTTGGAATATCTTGGAGGGTCTTACGGGCAGCATCTACTCATCAATACTTTTTTCGCGGTTTTATCGCTTCGGGGTGTTCGGGCTTGCGGCCGTGGATTTTAAAAGTTCAGGTGTGTTCGGGTTTTGCAGGCCTGTGGTTGTGAAAGCCACTTCGATGGTATACATGAAGGAACCCTATGTCAAGGATTCAGGCCTGTTTTGCGTCTTTCTGGTTCAGCTGTGAGCTTGACTCAGGGAACGAGGTTTGCGGGCCAGGGGCCGAACCAAACTTCTTGCCCAGAGACTCCAGCATCAGAAAGGAGCACAATTAGATCAGGATCGGAATCCCTGTATGTAAACCCTCAGCACTAAACCGGGAATTCCGGGCTTTTGGGCTCTGTCGGTGGTGAGAAACTCGACCTCCCAGAGTCCTTTACTATGGGTCCTAATTGGGAACCAGATTGTGCGATTTTCAATCCCTCCGTACGGGCTTTTTTCTTAGAGCATTCTGTGTTTCTGTTCAGCTCGATTGCGCCGATTGTGGAGCGTCTTGAGGTCCCAACAACACGGAACCGCTAATGCGTGCGCGACATCCTAGCTTGGACGTTCGGCACACCAGGTACAATCATGGCCTTATACTTAATGCCACAAAGTTGGTACATGGATTAAGGATGGTGTGCGGGGAGACTCCACCTTGTCGATCTGTTCCAACTTTCTGGCTTATGCCTTATGCTTGAAGAGTTTCGGCATGTAGGATCGTCGGGCTATTCGTGATTGGCCGATGCAACCTGTGTGGTTCTTCTCCCTTCTTTGCTAATTGTACTTGTTTCTACAGTGTTTCTACAGGATGATGTAGTTTTCAACGTCTGAGGGAAGTCTCTTGTTTCTCGGCTTCATCCATCCTAATTAAACCCTGTGGCCTGTGCACTCTCCGTAAACTAGTAGTAGTAGCAGCAGCAGTAGTAGTAGTAGTAGTCGCCGTCGCCGTCGTCGTCGTAGTAATAGTGCTACTACTCTTACTCTTAAGTCTGCTTAAATGCCCCTAACTCGACGAGAGCTGCGCAGCCGTCGTCCGGGCTACGATCAGCGTGAGTTTGCTTGGCTTCCGGGCAGTTGAGCTGCTGGTGGCGAGCTGTCTTTCAAGCCTTTACCCTGACCAAGACCCCGTAAGTTTGGTGGCTGACGGTTCGCAGTGTAGCATACAGGCTGCAAAGGGTGTTAAGAATATCCCCTCATTACCATGTCATGTCGTTTTCCCCCTCGCGCTCCCTGTAGACGTATGCTGTAGTGTAAGCCCCATTGGTGATTGTAAAGACCCTTCATACTAATGTTGAAGAAACCCCTATGAGCCTTTGAAAATAGTAAGGCCTTGCAGAATCCTTATCAGACTCTGATAAACGAAATGAAATGCCACTCGTACGACAAACACCCAATACGCCCCAGAAGCCCGGACAGATCATTCATCAAAGGCTGTATGTATGAAGCTTGAGGGCAACTGTTCTTCCGCACCTCCGAGCCCGAAGGAAGCCCGACAGTGTTGACCTGTAGGTGAGATATGCATTTCCATGTATGCACAATATATATATATATATATATGCACATATGTATATATGTATTTGTTTTTCAGCTATAGGATTATGTAGACGTATTGTAGAGTTCGTGCAGGATTTTAACTGGTGTTTCGGGATCGGTTTGGGGTTGAGAGTTGAGGGTTTGGGATTTAACATGGGGGTTCTAAGGCCGGATGCAAAAGAAAAAACATGGGGTTTCTAGAGTTTAGTTTTTGTACCTATACAGGGGTTTAGGGTTTATTTCAGTCACGGGGCCCAGGTTGCTAGGAAGGCTTGCGGGGTTTAGTGTTTAAACTGTGGTTTTAATAGGGTGTAGGGTTTACTTTAGGGTTACCAGACCAGGGTTGATGATATAAATCCTGCATAACCTTGATGATTCTTAATGACCCTAGACTATGGGAATTATGCTAGATTTCCTTATGGGTATTGCAGGGTTTACATGATCAAGGGTAGGGTATATAATTTAGTTTTCAGGGCTTCATTTAGAAACTCGAAGCCCCGAAGTACAAACTCCGGAGCCAAAAACACCCGAAGTGCTCTTCTGCCAAGCCAACGGCCTGTCGCCGGTTCCTTCGGCCCCAGGCGAAGTGGCAGCACCGACGTCAAAAACAACGTGCAGTGTTGTATGGTTTTGGCTGTTGCAGTGTCAATTGTTGTGATGGTGGTGGCGGTGGTGGTGGTGGTGCTGCTGCTACTGGCGCGGCCGCTGCAGCTGCTGCTGGGTGGTGTTGTCTTGCGGTGCGGTTGTGGCAGTTTTGGTTTCAAGTGTTGCACAATGTCGTACACTTGTTCTTGGTCTTGTCCTGCAGATTGCTTGGTTTAGTTTTACTGGTGCTTGCCATATTGAAATGTAGTCAGAAAAAGGCCGTTAATCGTAGCCCCATTGTAGACTCCTTGTCGTGTTTTCTTTTGTCGGCGTCGTTGTCGTTGCGGTAGTCTGAAGTTGAACTGCTGAAGGTGGCGGTGGTGACGGCCCCGGCCACGGCGGCAGGAGTATCTACTCTCCTGCTGGTGTTTCGCTGCTAGCTGGTTAAGTAGCCTTATTTGGGATTATTCGCGTGTTTGTGCTGTCCACATTTGAGGCTCCTGTCCTTGCACTTTTGTTTCCGGCGCTCATTTCTTGCGCTGGTTGCTGCCGATGTCGGTCTTTGCCATGAGCCACACGCTCAGCAATGCAAGGGCTGGTTCTGTGTCACTCTCGTTCTCGAGGAGGGGGGGGGTGGTAGGCGCGTGGGTGGATTGGTGAAAGCAAGATCGTCCTACTTTTTGCTTCGTTTCCCAGTTTCCGGGGAGGATCTAATGGGGGTTCCTATAAAGTACCCTTAGTAGTAGAGGGCCCCAAATTAGGGGATCTACTTTCTAGATCCTCCCGGGGGTCTGGGTTTTTGCTTCGTTTTCGGTCTGAAGATACGTAGTCCGAAGCGAGTCCACCGGCCCCACCTGTGCTTGCAGCTGCAGCTCCGACTCTTTGACTCTGCGGCTCCAGCGTATCATGTAGTTTATTAAGTGTTGTGTTGCCGTGATAACTTAGCCTCAAGGCTGAAGGTATGTAACTTAGATAACTAAGAACTCACTCCCCCGGACCCCCGAAGCGCACATCCCTCCAAAGTAAAGTCTTGAACCCAGAGCTCCATCGGAGAGTTACCCAGCCGCAAACGTGCCCACAAACACCAAGATACCCTAAACCCCTAAACCCTAAACCCTAAACCCTAAACCCTAAACCCCTAAACCCTAAACCGTGGCTCCAACTTTGAGGACAGCAGGATCGGTCCTAGTCCAACCCCCGAAGCCTCCAACTTCCAAAAACAGATCAAACTTTATAAGACAAATCCTCCATTTAGCAAGAATAATAACAATAATAATAACAATGATGTTTTAATAAATAGATTTAAATAAGAGGAATTGTCTTCCCGGCGGAAAGATGCAGCGATACGGAAGCAGCACTGCAGAGCAACTGCTCCGGGACGAGATCCGCCAGGCAGATTGGCTTACAGCTTGCGGGGGTGGAGGGATACCCTGGACCAGCACATGGAGATGTAATGTTTAAGTAAGCATACCAAGCCAGCCTAAACCTACTTAAGCCCTTCACCTCAAGTTACCCTAACCCCTAAACCCTTCGCCTTAGGTTGCTGGCCTTGAAGGATGGTTTCAAGTTCAGGGCTTAGCTGTCCATGACGCGCAAAACCAAAGCTGGGATTCGGGGATCTTCGTGATTTCGTCAGTGATCAGGTGAGTTTATTGTAGGGTCTATTTGTTTCATCAGGGCTTTTCAATACCAAGAGATTCATGTCGGATCGTTGTTGTAAAGACGATGTGATCTTTAGTCGCCCCCTCTTCACGCCACATATGCACGTGGGCTTGGGTTTGGGGGTTGAGCATTTCAGTGTTTTGGCGTGGTAAGGCTCCAAGATTACGGTCTTTCTGGCTTCTAGGGGTTTGGGGCTCAGCACCCAGGATTCAGATTGGATAGGCCGGCATGCAGCGAGAGGAATTCCTTTCAAACTTCAATAAATTTCAGGCTTGAGATTGTAAGACTTAACCTCTAATCAGTGTAGAATCAGATCTGATTAACAACCCACTTTCTTTCAGAGCTGGTACTGTTTAGGGTCTCATCAATCAGGGTTCTACATCACGGCCACTTCTTAAATCGTGTTTGAGAATAGAGCTGGAACCACCAGGTGCAACTTCGTCTTCGCCAGCGGCAACCTCGCAACAAGCGTCACGGGCTCAGACGGTGTCAACAAGCCCACACTTCGCATAAACTCACAACTCCTAGGAGTTCGCACCGTACGAAACCTACTTACACCCTAAGCCCCGAATTGACCCTATCTGAGGCCGATGTTTGGTGATTTTTTCTTGGACGTGGCTGCAGTCGGCGCAGAGGTATAGGGAAGATCGGTTTTGGGCCTGCTGTGCGCCTTTTACCTGGACCCCTTCACAGGAAAGAAGCGGGGGCCACTACCGAGCGAGTTCAGACTCACGAGTGGGCCCTCTCCTGTGTATTGAGGGAGACGACAGCGGCGGAGCTCGTGGAAGCTTACGTCCCTCCTGTCGACCAAGAAGGGAAAGTGCAACCCCTCGGGCTGGTATCCGTCACTACAGGACCAAGCTGATGAAGGAATTGAGAACCTTGCTGCAGCAAATGCTAACAGCAGAGGGCTGGGTCCATGCGGAGGTGATGCGAACCGGTCTGCGCAGGATGATGCCGCCCAGCATGTGGGGCTGAAGGATGCAAAACGTGAGTGGAGAATAGTGGATCTTTTGATACAGCTGACCGCGTAGCTTTGGCTGCGAGGTCCCTCGTAGCTCTGCGCTGCTGCAGCTCCTTTGTTTAGCTTCTACCGTTACGTCCATTAAAGCGCCTCCTCTTGTCGGATGTCCTGCCCTTGCTCTTATGTCACGGTAGCAAGCTGGACTCTCATCAAGCCGTGCCTGACTTGTTTGTGCGCGCGTGTCGAAACCCCGGAAGCCTCAACTGCATGAGCCGGAAGCACAAAACCCCACACAAAGAAGAAGGCTAAAGCTCCAGGCCTTGAAGAACTAGAGTAACCACCCAGAGGCCCCAAAGTAGTTCCTTTTTGGGTTTACCTTATAGGATTCTATATACGAACCTCGAAATTAAGGAACTACTTTGGGGCCTTTGGATAGAGCCTTAAACTCTTAAGCCCATGACCCCCCACGCAGCTCTCGTTAAGACAGGAAACCCTCAAGCAGTATATCTCTGAAAAGCCGCATTTGTTCGGGTTTAGGGCGTAGGATCTGCAAAACCCTATCTCTTAGGGTTCCACGAGCAGGATTTCCTTGCACATGCGTCCCGTGTTAAGATATCAGCCCCAAGTCTCGAACATTAAAGCCTTAAACCCCTGAACCCAAAACTCCGCAGCAGGCTTTCAGGCTGTCTTGGATCTATCCTGGGCCCCTTTACCCAGAGGCCCCAAAGTAGTTCCTTTTTTGGGATTACCTCAAAGGGTTCTATATACAAACCCCCAAAAGGAACTACTTTGGGGCCTTTGGGTAAGCTGAGAATCGACAACTTGAATTTGAGTAATGCCCTGAAGGTTACGGTTACGGCCCACTATGGTGATACTATAGTGGCAGTAAATATGCCGCTGGAAACGGACAAACCAGCTGCACGTGAAGACCCAAGCGGACACCTCCAACCTAAAGCCCAGAGGCCCTCTTTAACTTGTACCCTGAAGCCCAAAAGCCCCTAAACCCTGACACGCTAAACCCTTTCCTCGCCGGGCTTGTCGCGGAAACCCTTACAATGCTCCAAAACAACAGTGGTAATGAAAGAATATTGACAATAACATCAATCTTGTAAATACATACTAAAACCGCACTAATAGAAGTTCTAATATTTCTAACCAGAAATCTAGAATCAGAAGAGCCCCTGTGTACCACGTTCGATCCGAGGAAATTCGGCAGATCCGTCCACGCTGAGATGCTCCCTGACATCGAGTGCTTCGGAGCCACAGTTGTCTGAGAGAGAGGACTGAACGCTTTAGGGTTCCTTTAAAGCGTACTCTAAGGGTTCCTAGAAGGGATCTATAGGGGTTTAGGGTTTCGGGCTTTAGGAGTTTAGGCTTTATGGCTTAATTCCCAGAGGAAAGGGTTTCATTAAGGTCTGAAGCCCCGAACCTTTCCGTGCCAGGCTCCCTCACTCTCCACACATAATCCCTCGACGAGAATGCCCTTCGCGACACGAGCACTGAACTGATCCCTCTACAAAGTCCCCATGGAGCACGCTATGCTTTGATATGTAAAACACCATCAGAAGCTTTTTGGGGATTCGGGGGAGGCAACCCTACTTGTAGCTCCGACTAAGGCACCTATAACCCCACGAACGTTCTCCCCTGGTCCTCCAAGCTGTCAATGTAACACGGATCCGGGTCCGATAAGATTCGAATGATACAGAGAAGATTAGCATGGCCCACGTGCAAGGAGGACACGCACAAATCGCGAAGTGTAGCAAGTGAACAAAACACTGAACGCCTCGAAACCCTAAACCCTAAACCCGAACCATGCCTCGCCTGGTTTGTCCGAGTGTGAGCGCCGAAACCCGAACCATATGCCTCGCCTGGATTGTCCGAGTGTGAGCGCCGAAACCCTGAACCCTAAACTAAACCCTAAACCCGTGGAGGACCGACTACCCAGCCCCTGGGCTGCTGCAGGAGCGATGCGTGAGGCCCCCGAAGCTTGGTTGGGAGGAGAGGGCGAGCTGGGTTTAGGGTAAGAGAGAGCTTGGTTTCATGCATAAGAACTTGAAAGAGCTTTATGACTATGAGATCTATGATGTTGAACGTTGGAAAGATTCAGATCTCAACTGTTTCCTTGGGTTTTGCAGGTGGGTTTAGGGTTTTCATGAAGGGCTTCTGGGCTCAGGATGGCTCAGGGTCTTCCTGGACCCTAAGGAACCTACCTTTTTTAGGGTTCCCTAATACGAAGTCTTTAAATAAGTCCTTAAAAATGTAGGTTACTTGGGGCCAAGGTTAGAATGTCCAGCTGCGACGAGGCCGTAGGATTTGGCATGTTGAGTTTGGGAACATTATCAGGCTCGTGGCTTTAGGACTTACGGGTCTGCATGGTCTATGTTTATGGTACGTATGACTATATTGAAGAACCCGAACCAAGCATTAGTATCACTGACTATTCAGTCGTCTATACTACGACTACGAGAGAACGAGATTCTCAGTGAATGTGCAGGGGGTGTCAGGCGTTCCCTAAACCCTAAAAATCCTCAACCAGAAACAGTTTAGTGTCTTTGCAAGGTGATCACCTGCTCCGCAACATCCCGAACGCCTACAGCAAAAACCCGAGTTTCTCCTTTGCAAAGTGCGTTTAGGGTTTAGGGTTCTCCTCTGTCATTTGGGTTCTAGTTCATGGTTGCAGCAGCTGTGCGAAGGCTACGCTGGGGCGCCGTGGCAAGGTACGCCAAACACGCCTCCTGCTTGCTCTTGCCTGAGCATAAAACCTGAACCCGAAGACCTCCAATGCTGGGAGACATCCCGGACATCCTAAAACAGAATGGTGGGTATTCTAGGGCATCTCTTTCAGGGTCGATGTTGCAACAAGCACCTGAGATCAAAAACTGGTGCTTTTGTTTGAACCCTACAGTAACCCAACCCTGCTTCGAAGACACACTCGTCGGTGTCAATCTTGTCTTGAACAAAGACGTTTCGCCGCTTCGGAACATGTTGGTCCCCTTCTCACATGTTTTGTATTTGGGGGGGTGGGTCCTTGTTTAGGCTAGGGGTACTGATTGTAGCTAAGAGCCGAAGGCCATGAAAATCAGGGCCGCTTATTTTGAAACTCAGTCGATCGTTCCCGTTCGGGTTTTAAGGTTTAGGGTCGCCGGATCAAGCTGTTCGAGGCTGAGGGTTCAGCAATTCGGCGTTGACACAGAAGGTCTCTGGAGTAATTTATTCAGCCTAAACGCAAAACCCCTTTGCAAAAAGCGAGAACCGCAGGATTTGCATCGAAGCAGACCTCACCCCTGAACTACCACCTTCAATTCCTTAAGCCACGGGCTAATGATTTAGGCACGAGGACTTCTGCTTTGATTTTGTCTTGCTCAGGGCTTTGGAGTTTAGAGTTTTGGCTTCGTTTGGCCCTTGAAGCAGCGAGTCATGTGGAGACTCTCCCTTCCTTTCAAGGGATGGTGGTGAGATCTTGTTCTATTGGGCCTTTAGACAAAAAAGTGGTCATGAATCGGGGGTCTATATAACCCTAAACTCCAGACCGCTAAACCAATTCTAGTGGTGAGAGCGCAAACCCGCGAACCCCATAAACCTAAACCCCTCGAATTCCCAAAGCCCTAAACCCCGACAGGCTTTGTCCGAGTGTGAGTGTGAATAAAAACCCCGACATCGACAGCCGGCTTCTGGCCTCCGTGTCAAGGGGTCCTTCGGTTGATGATATAAATCCTGCATTACCTTAATGACCCTAGACTATAGGATTTATGGTATATTCCTTAGTATGGGCAATGCAGGATTTATATCATCAAACGTTGCATGGGCATTCGTCTCGCAGCTGCGTTGCATCTCAAGCCACAGAGCCCAAAGCATCTGAAAAGTTTAGGGGTTAGGGGTTTTAGGGTGTAGAGTTTAGGGTTTTAGGGTCTTGAGGTTCAGGGTTTAGTGTTTGTGGGTTTGGGGTTTAGAGTCTAGGATGGAGGGGCAAAGGTAGTGTACAGTTTAGAGGCTTAGGGCCGAAAACGGGCTTCATATTCAATGGGCGGATGTGGCCTCCTGCCCAAACCCGAAGCTACAGCTCCAGCGGGGCAGTCTCCTATCGGACGTTGGCCAGATATCGTACCGCACTCCTAGTGCAATCTGAATACTCCGCGACTGCAAAAGGAGGGTGAAGGGGACACAGTTACCGCCAACCCGACCCTGCAGGTGCAGGGTGAAGGGTGCCGGACACAGACCAGCGACAAACTCTTGTAGCATCTTGTAGCCTTAGGATTTTACGCACCTTGAAGTTTCGCATGCGGCATATTGGTTGTTGGCATCGGGTCTTGATTTGAAGGAGGTATCCTATGCAGCTTCACAGATGGCTATGCAGTAATGCTTCGGACTGAGATGCCCTTAACCTTAGCTTCTTCTAACCCTCCCACAGTTTGTGGTGATTGTTAAGTTGAGAAGCCCTGTGATGCCCAAGCTATGGGAAGTTCTGGGTGGTGCCGACAAGGGTGGCATCGTCGTGCGGCAAGGCCACTCGCATTGTCATAAGTCACAGAAGCGACAACCCGGGATGCGAACTGGGTTTCCAGTTTCGCTTAGTAGGGGGGTTGGAATGCCCACACGTGTTGGCTTTCTGGATGACAAGTGGGTCCGTGACGTTTATCCGATCTGACCTTTTAGGGGTGAGAATACCAAATCACATCCCCGTGTGGTTCCGGAATATACTGAAAGCATCCTCTACCCCAACACCCTTCGTACTTATTTTATTCAGGCGCCTATAGTGCTCTCGTGGGCCATGCGAATCCCAAAGCCCCAATCATAGAGCACGTTCGTGTATGCCTCGCGCTGCGTTATATGTTTTGGGTTTGGGGTTTAGGCCATGGCCTGTGTTGTTTAGGACTGGGGTTCAGAGCTTGGTTCAAGGGTCACATACATGCATATAGACAGAGACCGACAGATAGACATACGTAGCATAGCTAACATACATAACATACATCACTTACACACTATGCATAACATGCAAAACGCCCATAAATAACATCCATAACATGCGATACGTACACTACATGCAGTACATACGCTACATGCACTACAATACATTCATGCATACCTACATACATGCATACAAGCACACAAGCATACAAACACACATGCGGACATACTTAGATACATTTTCCGCATACAGGCACGAAGACAGATTGACGCACACGGACAGAGACTGGCACGTGCAGCAACCCAGAGCCCAACCGATACCATAGCACGAAAGCACTGGCAGCTGAGAAGTCTGTATTGAGAGAACCTCCGAAATTTGCAAGTCCCTAACCTGCATCCGCAAGAATTATGAATTATGTCCCAGAGCGGAGATCCTGCCAGTCTTTTCGCAAGTCCGAAGCCAGAAACCTACGCCCAGAGCCAACACTCAGCCCCAAATCCCGATCAAGAGCCGACTTCCGTCGATTCCACGCCTACATCTTGAAGGCCCAATCCCAAGCACTGCCGGAAGAACAGCCTGTGCAAGACACCGCCGGTGAGCGATTGCGTGCAAGCCTGGACCGCAAGGCCAAAGAAGCCTGAGCAATCAATAATGCCCTCCTTTTCCAATAGTGCCCCTATAGATGAAATCCCTTCAGCTCTGAATCCTAAACCCCAGTGGTTTGGGAAAGGTCGGGAATTGACGTCTGCAGCTTTGCCCGCGCGGCTGGCAACAGGACATCGGGGTTTCAAGTCGCTGCTTCCTGCGGCGGGTTTTGGGTGGTTCTCTAAAATAGGCTCCCTGTTTAGGTGGCCAAAGTTTTTGTATGGACGTGGATCCTGAAGGGGACCCTTATCTGGAGAACTACCCCCCGATTCCACACTACTTAAAACCTGTCGTGCTGTATGTAAGTTGCTTTACTGAAAGTTTGATCTTAAGAATCTGCTTCCTTCCGTAAAGTCCACAATCTTGAAACGACAGCTGCCCAAAGGCCTTAAGCCCCGCAGCCCCCATCTCCACACTCCTAACCCGAAAGCCCGTAGAACAGGGTTCAGTTTAGCTCGCCTTTGCTATTGGAGGAGCTGAGGAGCCAGGGATGATGATAATCCCTAGTAAATAAGGAGCTAAAGAGCCAAGGGAACCCCAAAACCACTGCTTAGCTAACCCGAAAGCCCGTAGAACATGGTTCAGTTTAGGCTTCCTAGGGACCCTAAGCCAGATAGATGGGGTTCTGCCACGAGCGCGATGGCTCCGAGATCCAGGCAGGCATGTGCAACAGGGACCCCTAGCTCGATGATCCGAAACTCCGAGGGAAGCTGAAACCCTCGGAGGCCCCAAAAGGTGGGATGAAAGTAGGTAGGATTAAGGATCCCTTATATAAGGACTCTTATTTGGGAATATCCCACCTACCTTCATCCCACCTTTTGAGGCCTCCGAAACCCTAAACCCCTAAACCCCCTCTACAGTAAACCCCAAAAGTTGGAAACCAGATTATACAGGGTTTCCAACTATTGGTCTTCTACAGTATAGTGAAGGCCAGAAAGTTGGAACATGGATTTAGGATGATTAGAGCTAGGATTCCCCCTACTTTACCTTAAGGGCATGGGGATCATGCTGTTCCAACTTTCTGGCTTCTACTCTATGTGGAGCCTTGCCTGTCTTGTGGTTTAGGGTTTAGGGTTTGGTGTCAGGATCAGTCCTGGAAGAGCTTGCGGCATCAGAGAATCGCTTGCACTTCCGGCGTCTGGCAGGTACCGGACCGGATGAAGGAGCCTTTGGCACAAAGGGCTTCGGAAACCCTAAACCCCAAAGTTAGGGACCCAAAAAGCACATAAGCATAAGCATTTTATTCGGATATCCCTACCTTATTGGGCTTCATTAAAAATGGGTTTATATGGGATATCCCTATCCTATGTTTTGCTATTGTGCTTTTTTGGGGCCCTACAAAGGGCTCTGGGTTTAAGGTTTTCGAGTGCGGGCTGCAAAGGCTTAAGCCCCCACCCGAAGACCCTAAACCTCAAACTTGCCCCAACCGTTTAAACCTAAACCTAGACCCTAAAAGACATTGTAAGAAACAGCTAAAAATCCCTGAGCCTTCGAGCCCCACAGCCTGCTTCTTGATTTTTTCTTGCTTGGTGCCCCTATTTTTTGAAACCCTAAACCCCGAGACCCTAAACCATACACCGCCTAAGACTGACCCCTCGAAGCCGTGCCTGCGAGAGCGAGTGTGCGACTCGAAACCAAGAAACTTAAAAGTCTTTCTGTTTTAGCCCTAAACCCTAAATCCCTAAACCCTAAACTCTAAACCCCTGAACTTAGAGTCTCTCTGTTTTAAAGAGGCTGGGTCTCCATCGCCGTGGCCGGCAAGAGGCTCGTGGCCCGGGCTGAGGACGCCTTCAGCGGTGCTTGGGAAGATCCTTGCCAGCGACCTCATCCCTAAACCCTCAACCCAAGACTGTCCGAGTGTGAGCGCCGAAACCCAAGACTGGGCGACCTGAATCCAAAAGGTTGGAAGCCAAAGCTCTACCGCCTAAAACGTCACACCCTAAGCATTTCATCAAACCCGAAACCCCTAAAGCCCTGAAGCCCTCAACCGCAAACCCCTCAACTCCCTAAACCCTTAACCCCAAGCCCCCAAATCCCCAACCGTGAACCCTAAAACCCGGAACCCTAGCCCCCAAACCCTAAAGCCCCAAAGCCCCGAAACCCTACAGACCTAAAGCCCCAAAGTCCTAAAACCCTACAGCCCTAAAGCCCCAAAGCCCTACACCG